CCTCGAAGTACGCTTCCTTCCTCGGTCGACAGGATCCTCCGACTCGTTCGTACGTTTTCGTACGATCCGTGGCAAAAGCGGTGACTCGATCCCTGTGCACGGTCGATCTTTCGATCGTACGAATTTTGTTTTTCGTTTTTTCTTCCGTTGTATAAAACGCGGTGAAAAATTCTGGTTCGCGGCGCAGTCGGACTCGACGCGTCAGAATCAAATCGTCGAATCTTTGTTCGTTGGCGACTGCGGTCGCGTGAAACGGCGTGGGAACAAAGGTCAGGGCGCAAAATCGTAAACGGTCAGGTAACGCGTTGGAAATTTTGTACTACTATGTCCCTCTTCGATTCGCCCCTCGCTTCTCGTGAGGATGCTTCGGTGATTTCTTTGTGGTATAATTTTGTCTATAGAGTGATAAATTTTATAGCTCGTCTCTTGATTCCTCCTAGATTCCTATCTCTGGTCGTGTTGGTCGTTTAGTCGAAGAGATAACGACAGTACATCCGTCCCGAGTACTTTTCTCGTACACAGAGAGGATTCTATCTCTATCTAAATCTTGTTCTCTAAATTTTGTAATAACCTGTATTCCACGTGTGTTCTCCTTTTCCGTCCCTCTTAAATAGTACTTTATTGTGCATGTTCCATGTAACATCGCTCGAATCGAAAAATCTTCGGTGGGTGTCTCCAACTCTCGAAAATCGATGTTCGGCGAACGCGAGGATCAGGTTTTAGGCCGTGAATTCTAATAGCCACGCGTCCCTTTTATTTGTTGAACCTTCCTCTTGGTTCATGTCGTACTATAACGGGTCGTTCGACTATGTTTAGGCTAGCTGTTGGCAGTGATCACTATAAGTTTTGGTCCGAGTCTAATCACACGTGATCGTGGTCGTTGATCGATAGTAACGTCATTTTACCTCATCCTACTGCATACACACGAGGCTATTTCTTCAATGTGCCAAACGAGAACTTATCCCCGATCGAGTTCTCGATCTCGTTTCTCACTGCATTATCGATATGTTTAGCTTGAAAATTGCCCGAACAGTCCGGTCAATCGAACCGGCTGTTTAGCCACCCATTCGATCTCTCCCAGCCTCGAAAGTTCTCGCCTAACTTAGCGATAGCGCACAGCCCGCTTGATTGGCGTTGCACACAGTGTTTCATTTGTTATTCAGCTTCATCGGGCCGATAGAACGCGGTCGTTTGCACGCAATCGATTCTGTTTTATTAACATTGCACCGCGATACATTCACCGTATTGAACCGACTATTCGCAACAAACACCTCGTTCCACGATCGATTCCTCATTTGTAATCAGCGGGACGATTTCATTCGCTGTTCCCAAGTAAACTTTGTTCGATGTACGATCCCGTTTCGTTTTCTGTCCCATTGAAATTACCGACGTTCATTTCTTGTCGCGTTCCATCTCGATCAACGTCTCTTTTGTTCGTTTATTGGTCGCATGGTCCTCGACACGATCATTCCTAGATGAT